GTGTGTGTGTGTGTGTGTGTGTGTGTGTGTGTGTGTGTGTGTGTGTACATGTATGCATGAGCACAGGGAGGGGTAAGACAGGATAAATGCCAGAAACCAGCAGAATGAACATTTCCGCCCTCCCTTTTCCCATTCCTAATCCCCCACACGCGCACACACACAGCGCCTGGGTGAAGCAGGGGAATGAGGACACCCCTGAGAGCTAGCTGCTGAGAACTAAAATAGCTGTTAGGGATGTTTTCCGACACTGTGGGGAATTGCTGGAAAAAAAAAAAAAAAAAAAAAAAAAAAAACCACAAGGATTGCAATAAGGATGAGTTCGAGGTGATATCATCAGTAGGACTTATGCCCACAGACAGTAGTAGAGCTGGTGTTTTGGCAAACAAGAGGGGTACACTCATCCCGCCTGGCCCTTGACCCCAACAGCCCAAATCACTTCCAGGTGATGGTCTTGATGAGGTCATCTATCAGAAGCACCAGGTGGCGCTGAGGACAACTAGGGCACTACAGGCCAAGGGGTGTTTGGAGCTGGCACAGAAGCAAGAGGACGAGGTCCTGAGTCACTTGTTTGTAGAGGCCTGGAGGCCCCAGGGGCCAGGCTGCTACGTTGCCCACCACAGCCCAGGGATGTGGGCGTTAGGAAGTGTCCCCGGAGCTGTAGGGGAAGAACTTGCTGGCTCGGTTGGGTGTGGTGGGTCTGGGCTCTGCCTCCTCACTTAGTTTGAAGAACATTTCCTGTTCTCGCTTCTTCTGGTTCAAATCCTCTTCCAGGGCCTGGGAAGAGACGGCAGAGGGTACTCAGTGGGATGCCAATCATTCAATTATAGAACAACACGGCCTTCTCCGGATAGCTCCCGCCCAGGCCTCAGGGGATGGGTGGAAGGCCTCTCCTCCCTCTCCCTGAGGTAAGCACCCTCTCCACCTGCCAGGCACCTTCTGAACTGCTCACAGGCCCAGGGCAAATCCTGAGGAAAGGCTTGTTAAGAAGGAGTCTGAGACATGGACAGGACTCTCCTCGTGGCAAAGGAGCCAGGTGAATGAAGAAAAGCAAGACAGTCAGAGATGGCAGAGTGACGGCTGCCTGCCTGGACACTACCTGCTGGGAAGCCGTGTGCCTCTGCCTCTCTGAGCATCCGGGACTAAAGATAGGTGTGGGGGCTATGTTCCTCAGGTAATGGGGGATTATCTCCAGCTGTCACGCAGCTCTCAGGCACCCCCACTCCGAAAGTCCAAGATGTTCCAAAATTTGAAAACTCGGAAATGCTAGTTTGATGCCATAGCAAAAAACACCATTTCTGAACTCACCGGATGGGTGGCGATCGAAAGATGGGTATGCCAAAAATACCTTCTGGCTGTATGTAAGGACACAACCGAGTCTGTCTAGACTTGGGTCTGGCTATGGCCTGAGTGTGAAATGTCCACAGAGGCTCCTGCACCTGAACATTCAGTTCCTCAGGCTGGTGGGGTGGGAGGCACGGCTGCTGAAGCTAGAGTCGCTGGGCAGGAGACCCGAGGGTTAGAACTCAGCCCTGGTCCCTGTCGCCTGCCGGGAGCCAAGGCCAGCTAGTGGAAAGTTACAGACAGCTGCAACAAGGTCGTAGGTGAGAGATTTATGTTTCCGTAACCTATGAGACATCTATGTGCAAGACATTTTGAGATATCTTAGCTGACATTCTTGTAGTATCTCTTTTAGTAAACATTCTTGCGGTGTTCTGCATCATCATTAATCACCCTATTATGTTTTGTAAACTATATTGCTGACACATTTTCCCTTCCTGCCTTCTCCCTATAAAGTTGTGTGAAATTTTTCAAATAAACGAGAACGAGATCAGACTATAGACTTGCTCTCATTCTTTTTGTCTCTTGTCGCCTCATTCTTTTCGCCCCTCCTTAGGAACTCATTGAACTCCCGCTGGACGGTACAGTCGCCTGCCTCTATAATGAGACCAGCGCCTCAAACTCCAGTGAGGCCAAAATAAACCCCCTTCCTGGTGTTCTAGCACCGACACTGTCTCCTCCCGAGACATCTCTTTATACATATGCAAACATCCCAAACTTGGAGAAGGATCTGAAACCCAGAACACTCTGGTCCCCTGCTGAAGGGCTCAGCTGGTAGTGAGAGCAGGGACGGAACGAAGCCTGCAACTCAAGCCCTGCTGTCTCCTGCCCACCACAAGCGTTCCCCAAAGCCTTTGAAGATCACAGGCAGCAGCCTGTCTCCTGCTGAGTGCCAGACAGGAAACACTTCAAGTTTTGAGACTTTAATATAATATTTACTCGTGTAAATATAGTACCCGAGTACTATATTTACCTCATCTTCCACATCCCCGCCTACTTCATCTCAAATCTATGGCCTCTTCTTTAAAGTCATCATGGGTATGTGTGAGAATGGCCTGCTGAGCCCACTTACTGTTTGTTGCTCAGATGTATACATGTTAGAGGTTCGGGGTTAGACACCTCAGGTGGAGCTCTTCCCTGGAGAAGACGGAGAAGACTGATTCTTCTCTCAGCAGCCTTTTTATTACCTCTCACTCTTCATCTGGAGTGAGGCTGTGTGAGGTCCACCCCCTCCGCACACCCACGCTGGAATGTCAACCGGTGTCGTCAGTGTGCAGGCCTTATTTAAGTGATATTGTGACACTTCCCTGTCCTATACGGAAGGCACTGTGCTTTGCAGGCCAGAGTTTCTTCTGCAGGACACAACTGCCGTCCTGGGCGAGCTCGGCCACAGGGAAGGTAAACAAATGAGTTGTTCTCTAATCAGACTCATTTACAGATGGGTAGGGGGGCAGGCTTAGCCCACAGGCAGCAATGTGCTGACACCAGCTTCCACTGACACGTTTTAAGATGCAGATACTATTTCTGCATTTGACAGTCTAAAGAGGCAGGTTGAGGAGGGAGGGCGGACCACTCTGAGGCCTCACTCTGTCCTCGGTGACCTCAGCAGGTTAGGAAGTCTGCAGCCACGGAAAAGGAAGCCTTCTGAATTCTTCTAAAAATACTCCATAGGACATGATTTAACGGGGAGACAGCACTCAGCACTCAAGGCTGACAGAGGTAACATAAACACAGCAAAAAGAACCATCACCTCTGCAGCAACTCAGGCAGCTGGGACAGAATCCTGCCCCAAGGCAGTCCCACAGGAGGAGGTGGGGAGTGGGGGGGGGGGGATAATAGAGCCAGCTCTCTAAGCACACACCTGCTTTGGTGCCTCCAGAGCATCAAAGCCCAGCTAAGGTCACAGGCAGCTAGCTGAATGACGGCTCATTTCAGACTCTTAGAATGTGTCCAGGAAACAGCCTCCCTAATGTCAGAGCCAGTAGGGACACTAGGTACCCCTGGGTTTAGTGTCAGAAGTCCCAGAAGGCCACAGCTTACCTCCTGTCGAGGTAAAATCCCTCAGGACATCAGGCCACATGGGGCACAAGGTCAAGGGTAACAAGGGCACCTCTTTCCTCAGAGTTTAAGAATAGCTACGCTGGGTGGTGCATGCCTTTAATTCCAGCACTTGGGAGGCAGAGGCAGGCAGATCTCTACAGGACCAGTCATACCCTGTCTCAATGAATGAATGAATGAATGAATGAATGAATGAATGAATGAATGATATGACTATGCCTTTGATATCTGGTGTGGGTTAACAACTCTTCAGTTGACCCTACAATCTCATGGCTGCCACAACCACACCAAAGTCTCCAATGATTCACTGTGCTAGTCATTTTCTCATTGCTGCAACAAAATACCAGACAGAAGCACTACAGAAAGAAGGGTTTTGCTTTGGCTCACAGTTTGAGGGTACACGGGCCATCACGGGAAGGCAGGTGGCAGGAGCATGAGGGACGTAGCCACACTGCATCAGCAGTGAGGGTTCTGTAAAGACCTCACTGACCAGGAAGGGTTCCTTCCTCACAGCCACAGCTAAGAGCCCAGTCCAGTCTAACTTTGGCCTTGTGACACCCTGGAGAGAACCCTAACTTTTGAATCCTACTCCTACAGCATTTGATAAAGAGTGTGGCTCAAGCTGCTGCGTGTATGGCTGTTTGTTTGCTTTGGTGCAGGTGCTCTACCCGCGCCCCAGCTCCACCCCAGCTCAAGCACAGAGATTTACACTTTAGGAAACCAATTCAGAAAGGAAACGAGCTGGCGCTGGCCTTTGATCCCACAGGGCGACTTCCCACAAACGAGGCTGCCAGCCTGCCGGCAGGACTGACTGATGCCCACAGCAGGTCCTCTGCTTCCACAGGACACAGGTCCTCCGTCTCAGGTACATATGGACTAGCACAGGAGGAGGATGCTAGCCCCAGGGGTGCAGAGAGCTGCCAGTGTTCAGCACAATGGGCAGATGGGTCCTGCCCCTCAGGAACAGACCAACTTTAGGGAACCCACGAGGCAAGGGTCCCCAAACAGGGATGCTTCAGCTGTCCTGGGCACCTGTGGCACGTCACCCGCCAGCCCAATGCAGTACCTTTTTGCGGGGCCGAAGCTTGTCCCGCCATTCCTTCAGGCTCTGGTTATGGCTCTCATCCAGGGCCTTCAGCTTCTGGGTTTCATGCTCTACCAACAGGTGACACTTTTCATTCTAGAACAGGCAGAGTAGGGGTGAGAGCGAGGTGGCGGAAGCCTGGAGAGCCAGACCCACGGCATCCCCGGGGGGCACTGCCACCACAGGTTTAATGCCACCAAGGCTGATGCCCAGAACCCACTATGGAAGGACGGCAGAACTGGCTCCCAGAAGTTGTCCTCCGAACCACACACGTGTGCCGGGTATGCACTTCCCCAGACTCACACACATGCACCAACATACCATAAGTAAATAAATAAACTCCAGCCTGCAGCTGCTGGTCCTAAGCCATCCTCTTGCTGACACCTGTCAAGTAGCAGGACTATAGGTATGCAGCGCTGCATCTAGCTATAGTGTCGGGTTGTTTTGAGGTAGTCCAAGCGGACTGAATCCGGGTGTGTAATTCCTGACCTACAGAAATTATATGTATAATGGGGCCCCGTGTCTAACTACAGATCATATGATACATGTAGTGTCTCTTGCCTCGTGTCATTTTCCTCAGGAGAGATCCCTGGCTAGAACGTGGCTGAGGCTCTCCCCACCTCTGCTATATGTTCTGAGGTAAGCTGTCCGCTTCATAAATTTTACCTGAAATCTATGTGGTAGACAGGAGTGAGGTCTCTGTTCACTCCCTGCAGAGACTGAGTCCTGCTACAGGAGCCTCTAAGGCAGGGAGGGGCAAGGCCTTTCTCTAGATACTACAGCCCTCCAGCTGGGGGAGAGCCCCTGCCTGGCAGCCTCCACTGCTGGCCATTTCTGGGGAGCCTCCCTGCCATCCATCCCGGCCCAGTGGCTGGAGGAGCTTCCCGAAGTTCTGAGACACAGGAGTCGGGCGCCATCTGTCAAGTGCAACGCCTCACTCCTCCACAAGGGGGCCCCAGGCACCAGCTCCCGGACCGGTCCCTCAAGGGCTCTGTCACTGAAGTCCCTGAGGGCGCTAGCACTTTGCAGGTCCTCGTGCACAAACACCTCCTGCTTGTCGACAGCACAGATGCTTGGGGCCAGACTAGGACACTCAAACAGGGACACTCGAAGCCAGGATCCCCACCCAAGCAAAGGAATACTGCAGCACAGCAGCCTCCAGGCCCTGGAGTGCAAAGCATTCAGCTCCAACAAATCTACACACCCATCCTGCCAAACAGGAGTCGACGCCTCCACCCTACGGCTCTTTAGAGAGGTGAAGAGTATGGCGAGGAGGGTCACACGACTTGTCCAGTATAGCAGACTTCGAGTAGCACGGCAGGGCTCAATCAGTTCGCCTGGGCTTGACCGACTGGGATGTCGCCCTGCCGAGGAGCCCCTGACCTCTGAGTCCTGACTGCCCTGGGGAAACTGAGGCACGACGCTGAGTACCTGCAGCTGCTGCAGCTCGCTCATGTTGCTCTCACACTGCGCCACCATGTCGCGCATCTGGTTTTCGTGTTTCTGCTGCTGCTGGAGCCTCTCGGCCTTCTGCCTCTTCTCCTCCTGCTGGGAGAACTGCAGAGAGAGGGTGCTGCTGTGGGTGCTCCTCCCACGGCCGGGTGGGGGCTCTGCCTACCTCAGCCTGAGCCTGCAGGGCCCGACCTGGGGAGGGGGCCCGCCCTGCTCAGAGCCAGGCCCGCCTCAGGCTGTGTTCTCACTATTGAAACTCCATCCTGCCCACGCAGAAACCCAGCCTCTGCCTGTCCTCACGAAGGTAGGGACCTGACATGACCAGGTGGTATGTGTGAGGACAGTATGTACAGAGATCACGGGGGCCTATGTCACACAGGGGACACGAATGAGACGTGGATGAGAACAGAGAGAGCTGTGCATGTGAAAACACGGGGCGTGAAAGGAACCAAGGAATCTCCTGGGCTCTCGAAGCTTCCAGGCCATGACTGCCTGACACACTGTGCCTTAACTGCTATCTTCCATCCTCGAATGCTGCCGGAGGCCAATCCTTACCCTGCCCCTCCCTGCCCACGCCCACAGCCCGCCGGGCACAGTCCCACCTGCTTGACCTTCTCGCGCTGCTCAGAGGCACTGCCTGCGCCATTGATGTGCAGGCTCTTCTTGTACATGGCCATGCGTGTCTTGCCGTCGCTCCTCTGGATCTTGGGTAGCCGTGCCTTCTCCTGCTGCTGCCTGATCTTCAGCTGCTCCATCATTCGCTGGTTGTAGCGCTGCATCTGTTCTCGCTCCTGGAGGGACACCGGGCAAAGGTCAGGGGAGCTCTAGATACGGGGGTTGCGCAGGAGCCGATACAGGGGCCCAGGGTGCCAGCATGGAGAAGCTGTTACTTCACCTCTACAGTTCAATACCATTATCTTTAAAATTGCCGGATATGGTGGCACATACCTATAATCAGCGCTGGGGAGGCACAGGCAGGCAGATCTCTGTGAGTTCGAGGCCAGCCTGGTCTACAAAGTGAGTCCAAGGACAGCCAGGGCTGTGACACAGAGAAACCCTGTCCCATAAAACCAAAAAGAAAGAAAGAATTCTTTTTACATTTATTTACTTTATTGGGAGCAGCAGGTCTGACACTCAGAGGACAAGTCATGGGAATCAGTTCTCTTGTTTCCCTGCAAGGGTTCTGGCACTCGAACCCAGGTCACTGGGCTTGGTGGTAAGCTCCCTTACCCACTAAGTCGTTTCACCAGCACTCGGCTTTGTTCTTTTACCACTACATGTCTCTGACTTCTCCTGGTTTAAGTCACGGCTTTCTGACTTGATAGTGGGGTGAAAACAACAGGATTCGGCTGAGCCCATGCTTTGAATTTAAATCTTTTCCTGGGTGAACAAAATCTAGTACGATATGCTGAATACTGAGCAGTAGCATTGAGCCACTGCTCTGCTTAGCCACATACTCCGGAGAGGAAATGCCCTCAGGCTGGTGTTACCAAGCTAGGGCATGTAGCTCAAGGGCATTTGAAATATGTTATTTTTAATTTAGGACAGAAGGATAGACGACAAGGAGCATCACCCTCTTCCTCTCTTATTTCTTTTTTTCTTAGGGGTGGGTGGGACATAGTTTTGAGTAGCCCAGGACTGGCTTTGAACTGAGAGAACCAAGCACTGAGGTGTCAGGGTGAGCATCCCTCACACAGTTTCCTTGATTCTTGACCCTTGAGCAGGGCCCTGGCCACAGCAGGCCCTCCTGGGGGCTGGCAGCACGCTGTCCCGCATCCCGCCCTGGCCTCCTCACCTTCTCGTGCTTCCGAAGCAGTTCGTGCCGCTGCAGGAAGTACTGGTCCTTGAGCTGCTGCTTCACCAGCTGATGCCGCTCCTGCAACTGGTGCTCCTCCATCTCCCACAGGGCTGCCTCCCGGTCTGCGGAGACCACGCCGCCCACACGGTGAGGAGCGGATGAGGCCCACGGGTCTCCCATCCCTCCTCACACACCCTGCCAGGCCTTTGGCTGGGACTAAAAACCAACCTGCTGGGCTCAGAGGCACCTGGGCTACCTCAGCAGACCACACTGCCTGTCTGAACGGAGCCCGAAGAAACTAAGACTAAGAGATGACAAGCCCCAGCAGCCTGGAAGCATAAGAGGCCAGAGGGCAGGGAATGAGCTGCGGCTGGAATGGCCCCAGCTTCTTCCTCCACCAAGTGGCACAGGTACACCCCAAAGAGAGGACGCTCTTGGAAGACATTATTAAGGAAAATCTACATAGCACCCCTTCTTTTCGGAGGGGCAGATGAGAAGGGTTCGGACGTGGAGATGACTGGAGTGAGAAATCCCACCAGGAGGCAGGTCCTCACAGACACTGAGGCTGGTATAGCCTTGGCCTTTGTTGCTCTTCTGTTGCTTCTAAATCGTTCGGACTGAGGAAGCCAGTTGCGGTAGCATCAACGGACCAAGGAGCACAGCAACCGTCCCCAGTGCGGTTGCCTCATCTCTACACTAACACTAGGATCACGGGAGGAGCGTCTTACAGGGAGAGGATGACGACGGCATGAGGTCAGGTGTGAGAGCACACAGTGGGGCAAGAGGTGGGCACAGGAGCCGCCCCTTCTGCGTGCTGTGGGGACTGGTACCCTTGCCTCATTGCTGACTTCCCTGGGGAAGGGCGGGGCGGGCTGTCTCTAGTTCCACCATCCAGGGGAAGGGCGGGAAAGGGCTGCCTCCGGACCCCACCTCGGAGGAGCTCCTGCTTCCTGCTGAGGCACTCGCGCTCCTTGTCACAGATCTCGCGCCTGTTCTCTGCGGTGAGCTTCTTCATGGCCAGCTCCAGGTCCTCCTTCTGCTTGGCTACAAAATCCCGGTCCTGCAGGGAGAGACAGTGAGCCTTTACCCGGAGGTGGCTTGGGTGACTTAGCTCTCTCCCTCTGTGACGAGGAGGGCCTGCTGGCCTCTCTGACCAGCCTTGGTTTCTTTAAATTGTCTATTTTATGTGTGTGAGTGTTGGTTGGCATGTATCGTATGTGCCTGCAGGGGCCAGAAGAGGGCGCTGGATCTCCTGGAACTGGAGTTACAGGTCATTGTGAGCTGTGGTTGCTGTGAACCAAACCCAGGTCTCCTGCAATGGCAGAAAAACACTCTAAGCCATGGAGCCATCCTCCAACCCCTAGCCCTGTGTTTTAAAAAGCTATTTGCTCACAAGAATTGTATGCTGTCTGGGTACCGTGCGACATTTCAGAACGAGGGTGCCTCATGTACCTGGTGAGTCTGGGGGACTCACAAGCCCACAACCTCAGATATTTATCATTTCACTGTGGCAAAACATTGAAGACCCTCTTCTTGCTATGTTGAAAAATGCGCATTATTATTGGATCTGGTCACCCTTCTGTGCTACTGAACACAAAACCTGCTTCTTCCGCTAATAACCAGTCTCACCCAGAGGAAAGAAACAGGTTGTGATACACAGGAAAGAATGGGGAGACCGGGGTCAGGTCAAGTGCTAGGCCTTGCCCTACTGTCACAAACTCTGCAGTGTTTCCTTTCTGGCTTTGATTCCTTCTGAAAAAGGAAAACCAAGTAACTCCTACCCAAAGGTGCCCTGAGCACTTGACCAGATTTCATGTCGAGCATCTGTAAACACTGGCTGCCTGCACCCAAGGCTGAGGGGGCACGGTGTGCAAAGACACCCCCCCCCCAGTGGAGGCAACAGGAAACAGCAAGCGGGAGAGGCTGGACCAGGGGGTATAGCCAAGCCGAGAGGGGCTGAGAGGGCTGGGCAGCAGCAGGCGAGTGAGGAGGTGGGCCTCAGCTTATGGACAAAGGATTTTAAGGCCCAGGGCTGAGGGAAGAGTGAATGACAGGGCCAGATTTGGATTTCATCTCGATAATACCTGCTGGCTCCAAGAGGAAGAAGTGCAGAAAAACAGGAAGAGTCAGGGGGGCAGCTATGCAGCTGAGAGAGCTTCGACAGTGCCGGGATCCTGCAACACTGACAAATTCACAGGTCCAGAGACTGGAGAAACATGGGTGGAAGGATGGATGGATGGAAATACGGAGTTGTGTATGTATGTGTAGGCGGGAGTAGATTTGTAGTAGTGTTTAGTATATATGTATATTGTATGTTATGTGTCAGGGCATGTGTGTGTTATGTCTGGCATGTGTGCGTGCGTGTGTGTGCGCATACCATGCTCTGGAAAGAGATGAAAGAGAAGGGAAAGGATGGGTGAGAAATGACAAAGGTTCTGGCCTGCCGACAAGACAGAGGCAAGTTCCTTCTCAGGACCTAAGAACAGAGCCAGGTCTAGGAGAGCAAGACTTTGATGTTTTTTCAACACCGAGGCAGTCAGGTGACAGGCCGTGTGACATATGAACAATTTGGCAGTAAGGCAGGCAGGACTAAGGCAAAGGCTGCAGTGGCCAGAGATGACGGGGCTCACTCTGGGGGCGTGAGGGTGGATGGTCACAAAGGCTGGATTTAGGCACTCAAAACAGGAGGCAGATCTCTAGGCAGCAGGCCTGGGCAGGTGAGAGGGGGGCCAGCGGTCACTTGGGGTCCCGGGGCTGAGTGACAGAGGCTGGGGACTCACGAGCAGCTGCTTCTTCTGCGAGTGTTCTTCCATCTTCTGCCTCATGCTCTCCTTCCGCTGCTGCCTGGGCAGTTTCTCAACCTCGTTCTTCACCTGCAGCAGACACATGGAGGAGAGCTTGCACCACGGCCCTTCCTGCTCCGGCCTCACTCTAAGTCTTGGTCACTCTCGACCCACCAAGAAGCTATTGCACAGACATGTTGTCCAGTGTCAGCATCAACTTCGGTTCCTGAGAGGTCTCTGCTTCTGTGGGAGCCCTGACCGTGTCTGTCTGCTGTAGTCTCTATGGTGCAGGTAGGTGGACTCCCTCATGCCACTCCCTGGAGGGCGTGGCTCTAGGCTGGTGCCGGACTCAGCACTTTCCACACCCCTGGCCACAGGGATTGGTTTGGAGGGAGCTCCTGACCCTCACAGGGCCAGGGGAAGGTGTCTCTTCCCTGGAAGAGGATGTAAACGTCCCCAGAGCAGGGTCTGTCCAAGATGATCCCAACACAGGGAAGAAGCAGCTCCTTCAACCTTTTCCCAGCATCACACTAGCCCACTGGAGTAATACAAAAGGCAGCAAAACCTCCCCCAGGTAATCTTGAGTTTCTGACCAAAGAATCAGGAAACGGATCCTAGGTAGGCCAGAGAGAATGTGGATCAATATCACAAGAAGAACATTAAAAAAAAAAAAAATCCTTATTTCTAGGAATGAGACTCCCAAAAGCCTCAGGTTCAGCCCTGCGCACTGGTACAAGTGCAGAGAACTTCAGAAAAGCTTTGGGAAATGAAGCCATCACCCACAGAAGGTAGGGCCTGTCTTAAATTAACCTAACACGGCTGTGTACCTACTGAAACAAACAAACAAAAAGGGTTGCAATATCCATTCTAAAGGATACTGAGTGGCAAAGTATGAACATCACATTACATGCTGAGAGAAACCATGAAGCATATTACACAAACAGGCAAATATTTAAACCAACTAGCGAAGTACTAAAAATAGCCAACTACTCTAAAAAAAAAAATAGGCAAAGAAAGAGAAAATAAGGAACAGAAACAAGAGGAACAAGCAGAACACAATTCCTTAAATGTAAACAGCAGAAATGCCCCAACTAAAACAACTGACTGAACTATATACAGTCAGCAACTATATACAGTTAACAAGTTAGAAGGATAAACATGCTTCTAAAGACTTAGTTTATTTTTTTTTAATTATGGGCATTTGTGTATGTGTCTGTGTCAGGATATGTGCAGATATACCCTGTGTATACAATACTTCCTGTACTTCTCTGTGCAGGTGCCTAAGAAGGCCAGACATGGGTACTGGGAACCAAACTAGGGTCCTCTACAAGGACAGTCAGTATTTTCAAGAGTTGAGTCATCTCTCCACCCCACAAAAAATATTCTATGTAAACACTAGTGAAAAGAAGGCAAGGGCCAGGCAGTGGTGGTCCATGCCTTCAATCCCTGCAGAGACAGGTGGATCTCTGTGTGTTCAAGGCCAGTCTGGTCTATAGAGTGAGGTCCAGACAGCCAAGGCTACACAGAGAAACCCTGTCTTGAAAAACAAAACAAAAAACAAACAAAACAAACAAACAAAAAAAAAAAACTGGGCATGGTGGTGCATGTCTTTAATCCCAGCACTTGGAAGGCAGAGGTAGATGGATCTCTGTGAGTTTGAGTTCAACCTGGTCTACAAAGTGAGTCCAGAACAGCCAGGGCTCTGTTACACAGAGAAACCCTATCTCAAACAAACACACAAACAAACAAACAAAAAAACAGCACCAGTGCCAGCACCACCACCACTAACAGAACCAAATCAATGTTCTTGTGCTAATATCAGGCTTAACGAGGAAATACTGAACGTGTTCCTCTTGAGACAAGGAATAAGGAGGAACTATTTCTGCTATTTCTAGCCAACTTCCTGCTGGGACCTGAGCCAGCATGATAGGGCAATAAGAGGCAGATCAACTGAATAGAAGAACTGCTTCTGTCTATATAGAAAATCTCAAGGAATCTACAAAGAGAAATATTAGAATAAGGCAACAAGGCCAGACACAAGACCACTGCACAAACAGCAATATAATTCTACCCTCCAGTAATTAGCTAAATTGATACTTTAATTTTTATTACGGGTGTTTTGCTTGCGTGTAAATCTGTGCACCACTTATGTGCCTGGTGCCGACAAGGGCCAGAAGGGGGAACTGGGACCCCCCAGAACGGGAGTTACAGACAGTTGTGAGCCACCATGTGGGTGCTGGGAACTGAACCCAGGTCCTCAGGAAGAACAACAACTGCTCTTAACTGCTGAGCCATCTTTCCAGCCCCACTAAGGTGATAATGTTAAAGTATCCTATGAAAGTACCCTCCAACAGACATAAATATAATTCAGACAAAACATGGATGATTTAATATAATTCTAACAAAACAAAGATGGACTCATATACTAAAAATTAAAAGTCACTAACAAAAGTTATCGAAGAAAATACAAGTATGTAAAATGTCAGGGAAGAGAAAGCTCGGTGTTGTTCTAGTGGCCATATTCCACCCAAAATGACCCAAAGTCCTGGCAAGGCTTCTCTACAGCATCTGCGGGGTGAGGCTATGATGGTATGAAAAGGCTAAGAGGCGGAAGGGACAACAACCACAGGACTCACACCCCCGGGCCTCGCCTCATAGACACGAAAGTACTGATGAGGGACAGACAAATGAACCCGTGTGGCATACAGACCCAAAGTACACCAAACCAGATCCGCTTACATACAGCCGGCTCCTCTCCCACAGACAACTTAGCAGAGGAAGGCGGGTATTTCCAGCACACAAGGCTGGGACAGATATCCCAAAGCCAACACTCAACCCAGCCAGACCTTATCCGCTACAGAAACTCAACTCAAAATGTTCTCACTGGGAAATACAAAGCCAAACACGGTGAACTGCTAAAAGACTGCATCTCATGGGGCTGAGGAAGGATTCCTTGGCTTCTTAAACAGGCCACCAAAAGAATCACCCCTAAAGAAAACAATTAGCTTGGCAAGACAAGCCATGGGCGGAGAATGAATATTAGCAAAATAATCTCATAAAGTTCTTGCAGTACAAATACAAAGAGAACCGTCAGAACTCAGTAAAAAAAGAAACCAATTTCCCAGCCATGTAAAGGAGAAAAAAAAAAATTTAAACAGACACATCACCAGAAGTGACATATGGGTGGCAAGGAAGCAAGTGAAGAGATGTATGTCACTAGTCCTCAGTGAAATGCAAACTCTGAGTAACAGTGAGATGTCACTTGACACTCGTCAGGGTGGCTAAAATAAAACAGTGACGTTGACAAGACCAAGTGTTGGGGCAAATGAGCAACCGGCCGGCTCATGAATCGCTGTGGAGAAAGACAGGATCCAGAGCATCTGGAGGGGCGTGAGGTCATCGACATGAGCTTACTGTCTGACTTCCAGAGCCCGCCAGCTTAGCCAGTTTCACCCTCTCTTCCATTTCCTAGGTTTTTGCAGGTTGTTTCCTAGGTTCTGCAGGCTGAGTCTGGTCCCCTGTTTCCCGACCTCTCTGCTTTCGGTGGATTTTCCATCTGCAGTGTTACTGACTCTGCGAACTTGAGAGAGAGGAGGTACTGTCCTGTACATTCACGGGATGTCAGTAGCACCCCTCGCTACAAGATCGACAGACGGCCCTACTCCATCCCCCTTAGATGTTTAAAGACACTGCTGATATCCCAGAGAGCTGGGGACAGAAGACTCCTGGCTCAGAATCACAGATGGATATAAATTCCCAAAGGAATAGTTCATCTGTGCACCTCTGTTTTAGGTACGGCCCCCAGTCCCAGCGCAGTGGCCCTGAGCGCTACCACACAACCTAAGAGATAGACTCCGAACTGCGCTTTTGCAGTTTTAGTTTGGGGGATGGGAGATTAAAAGCAACAACTGAGCACAGGGTCTGAGTTTTCTGTCAAAGGCATGGAAGACGCCAGAAACATTCTTACATCTGGTGATGGAGGAAGGAGGCAGAAGAAGAATAAAATCGGAGTCCTCTGGGGCCGCTTGGCAAAGAGGCAGGCCCAAGGACTCATGGGACCATTTACAGGCGGGAGAACGGGTTCCACCAGATGGCAGATAAGCTACATTCCAGGGCACTGAAGTTACTGGCTGTGTTGGCATCCCATTTTCCCAACCAGAAGAACAATCTAGTTTTTAACTAAGAAGTCCCCAGGGCTCCATGCAGGGCTGGGGAACCTTGACCCATTTAATAGACTCAGCTTCATGACGGGGACACATTCTGAGGAACAAGCCGTTACACAATTTCATCAACACGCAAACGGAACAAGAACCTTCAGGGAAAACCTAACGAACTGACTTTCCCCTCAGCACGGCCCCCTGGTCCAGGGCAGCAACCACTCGCACAGTAGTCGCATTGCACTGGAAATCGCGAGTGACCCTGAGGTGACTGCGGGTGCTCGGGAAGGTATGTGCGGTTACATGCAGCACACACCGCCATGTGGACCCGTGGGAGCCCCCGAGTCAGTCAGTCCCTGAATGTCTATGTGGTTCACGAAACTCAGTGCTGGGACCCCACTCAGCTCTGGAAAGAGTAAGTGTGAGCCCACACCGAGGCGCCGCAAATAGAGCCATCCCCAGACCACGGTCATCAAGCTGCTTGCCCCAAGCTTACTAAATGGCAGAGGCCTCCTGAGAAGCTAAAAGAACACAGAAGTCAAGCCTCTTCTTCCCAGAAAAACGTTCACATAAAACAAGCAAGAAAAAAAAAAACAAAAAAACCATGTAAAGATAAACCAAGACTTCGGTGTAACTCAGTGGCAGGGAACCTGAACAGCAGGCACAAGGGGGTTCATCCCCAGGGGAGGGAGGAAGTCCCATCTTAGCCTGCCTCTACACAGGGTACAGGGTCTCAAGAGCGGCCCAGAGTTGGGCACAGGGGCACACACCTGGATTCCCAGCACTCTGGGAGGCAGGCAGGTGGAATCTCTGTTAGTTCGAGGCCAGTCTGGTCTACAGAGTGAGTTCCAGGATAGCCAGGGCTACACACAGAAACCCTGTCTTGACAAAACAAAAAGCAATAACAATAAAAAGAAGCTGACAGAAGCCGATTACAGAGGACCCAGCTAGAAGAAAAAGCCAACACAAAGTGGTACCCAAAGGACAGGGAAAGGACTTCATGTGTCATGGCTTGTGGCTGGGACCCTAGGCCCCCAATGTGGCTGCCTCCAAAACTTGGGGTAGTGGGCCTCATGTAGCCCCTCCATTACGAAGAGAGGCTGTGATGGCTAGTTTTTATGTCAACTTGACATAAGCTAGAGACATTTGGGAAGCAGGAACCTCAACTGCGAAAAGGCCTCCACCAGCCTGACCTACAGACAAGTGTTTCTTGATTGATGACTGATGTGGGAGGGTCCAGCCCACTGTGCTTGGTTCTACCCCTGAGTCTGTGGTCCTGGGTTCTATAAGTAAACAGGCTGGGCAAGCCAGGAGGAGCAAACCAGTGAGCAGCACTCCTCCTCAGCCTCTGCATCAGCTCCTGCCTCCAGGTTCCTGCCCTAGCCTCCCCGATGAAGGACAGTACAGTGGAACTAAAGCGGAAACAAACCCTCTCTCCTTCCCAAACTGTTGCTGGTCGTGGTGTTTTGCTACAGCAATAGAATTCTTGCCCTGACCCGCCCCAGGCCCTTCTCCACCTCCTTCTTCATCTGCTTGAGCTGCTCTTGGAACTTGGCGTAGTCCCGATCCTGCTCTAGGCGGATCCGCTTGGCCTCCTCCCTGCGGCGTATGCTGTGGTCCTGCTCCATCTTCTCCACCTGCTGCTTCTGCTGCCGCTCCAGGTTCTCCAGCTCCATGTCGTAGAATTTCCTCTTGGCCTGGAAGGTGCACAGATTCAGAGGCATCCAGTGAGCCACTTTACACCTCAGAGTCTGTACGAGACCCAGACCTAAGTCCCTGCCCTGCTACCCTTTGCTGTGTGACCCAGGGCAACTTAACCTCTCCGAGTCTGTTTCCTCATCTGACCTGGCCAGGACCTTGGTGTGGCACTCCACAGAGGGGATTTCCTCTAGAGGTGTTCCCACAGCACTCAGGATCACTGTGACCTAATCATCCTTCCACCACACCCCACGCCTGAAGAAAACGTGGAGGCCAGAAGCCCCCAGCCTCCTCTCACTCACGTTGATTTCTTGCTCAAAGCGTTTGTGCATTTGCTCCAGCTGCAGCTCGTGCTTGCTGCTCAGCTGTGTCTGGTTCCGGTGTTCTTCTTTCTGCAGAAGCCGGAGCTCCCGGAGCTCCTGGCGCCTGAGGATTAATAGGCACAAACATATCCTGGTTAGAAGGGGGCCCCCGAGACCACAGTATTCACAGCCCAGGCCATGGAGGGATGGATTATGGAACAGAATCCCGCTAACTTAAGCAGAGACATGATCAGGATTCACTGACAGACAAAAAGGGGAGCATCCTCCACATATAAAGAGCATTTCAAGATCAATTAAAAGGGAGGAACTAACCATCACCCTCAAAAGTGGTACATAACATCAACAGACATAGAGCAGACAAGTGCAAAACAAGAAACTTTATAAACTGTATCTATATGGTATGAAATGCAAATATAAAAGAAAAAAAACATTTCATTAAACGGACATGCTTATTGGGGAATTCATACTCTATGTACTACTGATATTATAATGGGACATTTTGGAAGATGCTGGCAGCTCATTTATGCCTTCTGGCATCCTGGTTTCACTTCTGGATTGAATAAGGATGTTTTTAACAATGTCACTTATAGTTAACTTTCACTCCACTGGTCTGAGATGAAGGAAATGTCCCTAGGACATCCCAAACTATTTCTGTGATGGAGAAGCTTCCTCCAAAACTACGATGACGTTGGCAGAGCCCTGGCCTCAGGTGCTCTGAGCCTCCTCAGTGCCTGGCAACCAGCGGTCTTGGGAAGCCACAGCCCACACTGCATCTCCACTCTGCTCCTTGTCAACTAAAGGCCCAGCGCGTGCAGCACACCTGCCATGAAACACTGTTTCCTCAGGTGTGTGTGAGGAATACAGTCCCCGGGCAGGGCTGTTAGAGACAACTGGAGCGTGGGAGGCTGTGCCAGCAAAAGACCTTGCCCCTCATCTTCTTTCTCTGTCCACGCCCTCTCCTTCTCACAGGCTTAGCTCTGAGATGCACACTGAGTACTATCCCTTCTCCCTCCTGGAGGGAGTGGCCCAGCCCAAGCCGGAGTCTGGGGGTCTTGGACTGTTCTCCCACCTCCCAAGCCAGCGTTATGTTTCTAAAGCTAAGACAGTTACAGTGGCCACGGAAATGTCCAGACAGGACATCAGGGCCCTTCACTATGTGCCATTTCCCTTCCTGCTGTGCCTGGAATCCCCCACCTTTCCCTCACAGCTGTGTGTTCAGACCTCCACAGCCTGGGTCCTGCCCCAACACAGACCAGATCCCACCCTCCTCCTGGCCCGACATGCCACAGTGAAGTCCTTTTCTCTAAGACCCTCATGCAAGTCACCCACCAGGGCCTCAGATTCCTTCAGCACATCCCCAGATCTGGGGCATTCACCGGCTCAGGGCGGTGATGGTGAGGGCCCTAAGAACAAAGTTTGCTCAGCCCAGGCACGCACTATTGGGCCACCTCCTCCCCCCTTCGCAATGTGCAGCACAATCAAGAATTAGCATGTGCACTGTGTTTGAGACCCAAGGGCATATATTCAACATGGGGGATAGTTTCATGTATAGGGATTTCCGTTCTGTCCCACCTGGAAGGCGATGCACGCATGGATAACTGGGTGGACGTGTGGACAGAGAAACAGTAAGTGAAGAGGAGGCTGATGGATGGATTAAATGGGTGCTTAGACAGATAGATGGGTAGGTGAGTACAGATAGGGGTAGGTGGGCTGTTGCAGGATATCTGATCACACTGTGAACCCCAAGACTGTATTATTTACTGGAAAAAAAACCTGTTTGGAGTTGTGGTGTGGCTCAGCCCTAGCACACACCTTTAATCCAAGAGCTTTCTGCTTGAATTAAATAAAATCAACTGTAGGTCAAGAGGCAGAACAAGCAACCAGTTGACAGGGAGTTAACAGAGGGGAAAAAAAAAAAACATAGGGAGGAAAAGGAAGTCAGAAGGATGGACAGAGAGATGTACAGGAAGTAGAAGGGAAGGACATTCAGTTTGAGGGTTTTTGTTGTTGTTGTTGTTGTTTGTTTGTTTTGAGGTGGTGTGAAGAAGCTTTCCTTTCGGGACATGGCCTGAGGAAAAAGGTCAGTGAGGTGCTTTCTCTGCCTCTCTGGGTTAACAGGCTTTCACCCCAGCATCTGGCTCCTGAATCTTTATTGGTAAAACTGAACAATTGAGATTTTGTTAGAAACAACAACGGATGGACAGATGGATAACCGGGTGGACAGGTGGGCGGGCAGGTAGATACATGGATGGGTGGACTGCATGAACAAATAGGTAAGGGGAAAGAAAAAATAGGTGGTCTGTGGATGGGTGTGCAGGCAGATAGCTGGAAAAATGAGTAGCGAGATGAGCAGGCCAATGGGTGTGTGGGTAGAGATTAGGTTGCTAGGCAGAGGAGTAGAGACATGGATTCGGGGATAGAGGTTGGGGAGATGGATCACTGGGTGTATGGATGAGTGAGAAGGTGGACAGAAGGGAAGGGTGACAGATAAGACATCTGGATAGATGGATGTGTGAGTATATGAATGCAGGAGAAGGTGTCTCAAGGAAGACCACTTTCCTTTTTCCTCAGTCCCCCACTGTAGACAGACAGCCCTCCCACCCACAGGGCCAACCCTAAGCACTCCCAGGGCACCCACCCGTGCCCACACTGGCACCTCCTCGGACTTGCCTGAGAAACCTCATCTCCTCGTCCTTCTTCTCATCTTCGCTGATGATCTTGGAGGTGGTGATGCTCACCTCCACGCCATCCACCACAAACCGGCGGGTCCTCTTCAGGGTCTTATTGTGCAGTTTTGAGCCCTGGTAAGGAGAACATGCCAAACTCAGCTAGAAATCCACAGTGGAGAGACAGGATGAGGTCCACAGCCTGGGCTCCAGAAGGATTCGGCCATCCACTGTCCCCTTCCTCAAGCTCCACAATCAAGGCCTAAGCGCCTGGCCTCAGGGAGATCTCAGGCTTCAGACACCGCTTGAGGCTCTTGACCTCCCCCTGAGGCCTTCTTGTAGAACTAAGACTGGACATCAAAAAGGGCTGTGTGTTCATCCTCACTGCTAGCTTTATGACCCTTCAGGCCTTGTGCTTGAAGTTCAGCTGTCCAGGGAGTATTAAAACAACTTGCCTCCCAGGCGTCCATGAAGACTGGATGAGACGCACAAGAGGCACACAGTGGCACAAGCTCCCTGGCATGGGGTTTACTTCTGCCAGTCATGACTGCAGACCACAATCCCTCTTACATTTGGTGGCCTCTGCTGACCTAGCTACAGCCCATAGGCAGCCATGCTTGTCTGGAGCCTGGAATGGGATCATTCCTCTCTCCATGAATAATCGCACAGGCCACAAGGGGCTGCTTAGGGAGGACCACCTCTCCCTGAGGTGGCACGGTGGCATGGCATATGGTGGCCGTTGGAAGTGCTCAGGTCTGACACAGATGAGGGCTTAGGGAGGGGCCTGTACTGGCTTTCTGATGACCTCTGTTCTGCCCACTACCCAGCCAGCTGCAAAGGCCCTTCCTATTAGAACCTAACCCTTTGCAACAGGCTCAAGGGCCTTCCAGCCCCTTCAAGACAATTGGGCCTGCCAGCATGGCTAAGAGTTAGTTCCTCGGTCTGTATGCTTCTGCCCAGCCTACCTCACCTGGGCTCTGGGCACTTGGTGCCTTTTATTTTATTTTTATTTTTTTAATGGTTCTGGGGACTGAACCCAGGGCCATCCGTGTGCATGGAAGGCAAGCCCTCTACAATCGAACTCTATCTTCTGCCTTTTTGGGAGGAAGAAGTACAAGACCCTGTCCTAAACAAGATGATGCTTCTACCTAAAAGCCACTGGCCACAGCTGGGCAACTACAATTTATGACAATGGTGTCGGTTCTAAGGAAATGAATAGAAAAGCTGCCGAGGACACTTCCACTTGACTGAACATCTTTCTGCTCCAGCAGCCACTGCGGGGCCTCTTGGCTGCTTCCTCCTTTCACCGTCTTGCACTTCGGAAATGTGTGAACTTCTACTGTGGGTTTTATATTGAGTAATTCTCAGAAGGCAATAAACAGATGTACAGCATCACCCCCTCCTCCCCCAGAACCCCCTAAATCAGCCTTGTTTAGGGGTTCAGGTGGCCAATGGGAAGTTAAGCTGTATCTATCGCAGAACTGCTGGAGGCAGACAAGGAAGGGGGTCACTCCTCCTGGCTGCTGAAGGAGGAGAGGGCTAAAGGCACACCAGGCCAGGAGCCCAGCCTGAGGTCTGACCACTTCCTACTTCTACCCACATGGCCTTGTGCCAACTGCCAGCTTCTTTGAGTTTCTGCTGCCCGTGTGGAAACGGTGGGAAGAGGCAGCCCTTCAGCTCTGCGCAGAGCACATTTTCACAGGGTGCCTCCGGTCTCTTGGTGTCACTCCCTGCCAGACAGGAGGCCAGAGGGGACAGTGAGGGTACCCTCAGTGAATCCACCTGTCAGCCACTGGGCACAAAGCTACCCCCAAGCAAGGGAACTTCCACTTCTGGAATGCTCTTTCCCCAACTTTACTAGACCCTTTAACCAAACTTCAAATTAAAGCCAAACCAACCACAAAATAGTAATGTCTTGTATGACCTAAATATGTGTGTCAGGGGAAGGTAGGCTAGGAGGTGAGGTGAGCTGAAATCTTAAGATCCACACTCATGGGCCATTTAAAACAAGAAGTAAGAGTGTGTGTGTGTGTGTGTGTGTGTGTATTATGGTATGTGGTATATGTGAGGTGTGTATCTGTGTGTTGCTTAGCATGCATAAGGATCTGTGTTCACCCCTAAGGCCTCTTACAAATAAATACACAAATCAGCACAATGTAAATAGCTTCTACATGCTTCTGAGAATGGAACCTGAGCATGGCACATGCAACAAGCCTGCTCTGACCCCCAGGGAGACAGGTGACCTTACCTTGAGAGACAACGAGCCTGTTTCTTTGTTCAGTGCCAGGTCAGCAGACAGGGAGGTGCCATAGTCCACACTCTCTGAGGTAGTAGACAGGTTGCTACAGTCCGAAGCCCTCTTAGCATGGCTTGGAGCTACAGAGCTGGGGAGTCCCGGGCCTCCATTGGCTATCGTCTCCCCACCCAAGGTCTCCAGGGCGCTGCTGTTAGGTCGGCTGTGGTTTGCCTTCTGGGACTTGCCATTTGCAGGACTGAGGCCCTCCGCCTCATCAGTGGCTTGTTTCTCCTCGGCCACCTGAATTCTGGCATCCATGGACAATGGTCGGGACTTCCGGAGGGAAACAGGCACCTTTAAGTCACTGTCATTCTTGGGGACCACCTCGGCGGGGATAGTGGTTTGGAGGGATCCGTCCCCTGAGGGTTGGCTGCCAGGCCCGTTTACAGGCTCCTGAGGTTGGCTGGGAGACAGAGGAGCAGAGGAATCCTGGAGAACTTTGTCAGGGTTGAGGCTTGGCTGAGTTGCATCGGCAGAGTCCTGAGTGTGGTTGACCAGGGCCTAGAAAAGAGTCAAGGCTGAGCTGCTGGGGCTCTGCGGTGGCGGTGGTCAGGCCCCGCAGGTGACAGGCCAGCAGAGTGGGGCAGGGACCACTGAGCCTGCTCTCCACCACTCCCCACAGCCTCTCTTAAACAGGCTATCCTACAACCAGGGTGAGGACTCGCCTAGTTGCAATTTGACCTGATCGCTGTGCCTGTCCTATGAGGAAAACAGACTGGGGACAGCTGTGGAGAGGTCCAGCCAATTGTCACAGAGCGGGGAATGCGCCTTTCTCACCCGAGGCCAGGCCTGCGAATTTCTCAACACACATTGGCAATCTGATTTTTGGGTTTGTTTGTTTTTTGAGACAGGGTCTCACACAGCTCAGGTTGGCCTCAGACCTGCTCTGTAGCCAAGGATGACTGTAAACTTCAGATCCTCTTACTGTATCGCTCAAGTGCTGGAATTACAGGTGTGCGCCGCCATGCCAGTTTTGTGTGGTGCTGAAACTGATCCCGGGTTTTTGGGCATGTTAGGCAGCATTCTATCAGCTGAGCCACAAGCCCATCTCAGTAGTTTGCATTTTCTCATGAAATCTGTTGATTTCTAAATGGCAACTAATTCACATTAAAGAATTACATAAAGTGCTAATCCTGGATTCAGCCTGCCCGCTATCCCTTGTATTTTCGTTTTTGTGGGGTGGAGAGTACTGGAAATGTTGCTATAATGAAACCAAACATTCATTTCTATGAATAGAAAAATATGTCTGTATGTGGCATGAAGGTGGAAAGAAGGCTATGGAGGGTCCAGTCAAGGGTAGGAGGGGGCCAGGGACCTCTTCCATCTGTGAGAGAACCAAAAGCAGATTTTTTTTTTAATTTAAAATTTTTACAATAAGCCTAATTCTGTTTTTTTTCTTTTTTATTAATTATTATTATTATTATTTATTACAATTTATTCACTTTGTATCCTGGCTGTGCTCCCCCACCTCCGTGTCTCCTCCCAATTCCACCCTCCCTCCCTCATCTCCCCCTATGCTCCTCCCCTAGTCCACTAATAGGGGAGGACCTCCTCCCTTCCCTCTGACCTTAGCCTATCAGGTCTCAACAGGACTGGCTGCATTGTCTTCCTCTGTGACCTGGTAAGGCTGTGCACACACACCCATCCCCACCCCCACCCCTACCTCCAGGGGGAGGTAATCAGAGAGGTATCAAAGCAGAGGCTGAGACTCAGAGCCAAACTTTGGGCAGAATGCATGAAATTTTATAAAAGAAGGGAGAGAGAGAAAGACCTAGAAGGGACAGGAGCTCCAAAAGGAGACCAACAGAGCCATAAAAACTGGGCCCTGGAGGCCCTGCAGAGACTAATACCTCAACCAAGGACCATGCATGGAGAGGACCTAAAACCCCTGTTCAGATGTAGCCCACTGACTCATTCTCCAAGTGGGTTTCCTAGTAAGGGGAGCAGGGGCTGTCTCTGGCATGATGCCTAATTCTAAATAAAAAAATTTAAAGATTAAAAAATAAAAAGAGCTGGGTACAGCGATGCACACCTTTAATCTCAGCACCCAGAGGCAGAGGTAGGCAGGTGTATGAGTTCAAGGCGTGCCTGGTCTACATAGTGAGAGTTCCAGGCTAGCCAAGGCTACATAGTAAGACCCTGTCTCAGAAGCCAAAAAATCAATAACTGAAAAGAGAATAACTGTGACGGGCCTGGGGTTCAGCTCATGACAGCTCAGCCCCGATGTACCGGGGATCCTCTAGGGTGAGCAATCCCCCAGGACACTGAACTGTGAGACCAGGGACCCTAGGACAGCTCTAGATCCTGCATGCTCAAGAACCAGGATCTGACCAACATTCGCTCGGCCTCATCCTGGGCAGGGGTGTTTGGAACTCCCAGCCACTTGGCCCCAAGGGGCAGAAAGAAACCCTTTCCCAGCCTCCCTCCAAGGAGTGGCTGTGGCCCTCCCTCCTTGACCCCCAGACTTACAGAGGCGGCATCTACAGCTTCCTCCTCTTCTCCATCTTCCCTGGCATCATCCCTGGCATCCTCGATCTCCTCCATCACCTCCGCCTTTGCCTCGGCCACCAGCTCCCGAAGAGCCTTGTTGCTGGTGACACCACTGACAAAAGGATGCTGAGGAGAAGACACCCTGTGTTAGTGCCGTTTGGGGCCAGTTGTGGGGCAGGAGTAGTTGTGAGATTTGCTCCTTGGTGGTCCCAAGGCAACTCGTGAACTTGAAGTTGGAAGGGGAACTCAATCAGAAACCCTGCGGCAGATCAGAAAGTCCTGCATGTCGAGGGAAGAAAGTAACCCCCACCTCCACGACTCAAGCTGTGTGAACCACAGCCTCTCCATTTCCAAGGGACAGACAGACATAAGGTCATGCTGAAACCATAAGAAGTTGTGAGGGTGAAATGAGACAGTTCACACCTTGTAAGGTGCCTTGTAAAGTCAAGATTCAGCCCATGTTTTCCCTTGGGGTGGGGGTTGTGTCATTTGTGTGTTTATTTTCTTTTTGACCCATGCTTCGACTCTGCTGGCTCTCATTCAGCTGCTTCGTTCCATCCAGTTCTGCGCCTTTAGAAAACCCTCACTCATACAGACTAAATATGGCTTGCATTCTCACATGGCCATGAGCCTATGGGGGCCAGGAAGTAGAATTGGTGGTTTGAATGAGAACAGCCCACATAGGCTCATGTTTGAACTTTTGGTCCTCTGTTGGTGGAACTGTGTGGGAAGGATTAGGAGGAGGCGCCTCATTGGAGGAGGTGTGTCTCTGGAGCTTTGGAATTTCTTTTCTTTCTTTTTCTTTTTTCTTTTTCTGTTTTGTTTTTTTCAATGCAGGGTTTCTCTGTATAGCCCTGGCTGTCCTGGAACTCTGAAGACCAGTCTGTCCTCAAACTCACAGAGATCCGCCTGCCTCTGCCTCCCGTGTGCTGGGATTAAAGGTGTGCACCACCACTGCCTGGCTTCCTTTTTTTTTTTTTAAGATTCAGTTATTTATGTACTTTGGGTATATAGGTGTTTTGTCTGTGTATGTATTTGCACATCAGAGAGGGTTTTGGATCCCATGCGACTAGTTATAGATGGCTGTGAGCCACCATGTGGGTGCTGGGAATTAAACTCGGGACCTCTGGAAGAGCAGCCAGTGCTCTTAACCACTGAGCTGTCTCTCCAGCCTCGCTTTAGACTTTCCTCCTGCTTCATGCTTGATGATCAAGACATGAGCTCTCAGCTACTGCTCCAGCACCATGCCCGCTGTGCACCCCTAATTGATGGCCATGGACTCTAGCCCTTTGAAACTGTAAGCCCCAACAAACTCATTCTTTTGTAAGTTCCTTTGGTCATGATGTCTTATCACAACAACAAAAAAGTAACTAAGATGCTGCCCCCCCACCCGCTACACCATGTACCTACAAAGCCTCTTCGAGGACAGGATTCTGTGGATAAGGAGTGCATCAGCAGCACATCCTGGCCCTCATCTAGTTGCTAATTTAAGTTGCTTCAAATCATATGTGCAGCTATCATTGGGGTCTCAGCTATGTACCTCTCACAGTCACATGACTCTAAGTAGATAGTATCTTTCTGCTTAATCAGTAAGCTCACTAACAGTGTTTCACTGTCTTCAATTTTTTTTTTTCTTTTTCAGGTTTTCATGTAGCCCAAGCTGGTCTCAAACTCCCTATGTAGCCACGGATGACCTTGAACCTCTACCTCCCTTGTGTAGAACATAAGCATGCACCAATATACCCAGGTTATGCATTGCCAGGGGTTGGACCCGGGGCTTTGGGCGGGCTAGGCTAGCAGTCTACCAACTGACCTACACCCCCAAGCCCCAGAATCCTTTTCTGGGATTGTGAATGTGAAAATCCATCCACGGCACCTAGCAGAGCTCCCGGAGCTCAGCAGGCTCCCTTCAAGGATGCATGCTTCAGTGCCTGGGCAGATGCTAAGCACAGCTCTCTGCCACTGTGCTCCACCCCTGCTCCTCTCTGACTCCAGGGCACTGGACCACTGAAGGAACATGTCACCGTTTGTTTAGCCACCCTGTTGCTGTCGGTCATGTGGCAGTGTTTCCTGCTCTGGGTGATCAGGAAGTAAGCAGCTAGGGACAGTCCTGCATCTGTTGTCTTTGGGCAGAGATATATATTTGGTTTTCAGGAGGGCACTGTAGAGTTTCCTGGCAGGGACTGGACTCTATTCAAGGCTTTTACACAAATGGCACCCTTCAAGAGTGAGTATTCTTCTATAGACCTTCTAAAACCCCAAGGCAAGGGTCTGGGGATATGTCGGCCAGCCTGAAGCACCCTGGAGAAGCACTGTGGAGACCCCAGCTGCAGAGATTTCCTCCCTGGCACAAGCAGTGGCCATGGGGGATCCCTCAGCCCTGATGTCGTGATGGGTAGAGGGAAAGAATGTCGGAGGCTTAGGGGCCTCACTGGGTTGGAATTGGCTCACCCAAGGTTCATGGGAAGGCTCTGAAACCCACTGCTGTTACCAGAAATCTTATTTGTGGATGGGTGGTGTCAGCAAAGTTGCTGGGGAAGTCTTTCAGTGACTGAAAACTACATTTTCCACACCTTAAAAAGCATATTCAGGAAGCCAGACAGATGGCTCAGCAGTTAAAAGCACTGGCTGCCCTTCCAGGGAACCCAGGCTCAACTCTTAGCACCCACAGAAGAGCTTACAAACATCTGTAACTCCAGTCCCAGGGGAGCTGGTACCCTCCTCTGGCCTTCATGAACACTGCATGACACACACATCGGCAGAACACCCAAAAAACAAAATAAAGACAAGAAAAGACATATTCAGAACTTGGAAATCCCATGAGAAAGTATTTCCACTTGTTTGTAGGTTTGAATGTACCTAGGGCTGGAGAACCGGCTCAGTGCATAAAGGCACTTACAGACAAGCCTGATGACCCTGGTTTGATCCCCACGTCCCAGCCGATGGAAGGAGAGGACTGACTCCTACAAGCTGTTCTCACCTCCTCACCACGTCATAGCACACACATGCCCTGCCCTATACATACAAAGAATCAAATTAAACAAAAGCTTCCTGTGGGTCTGGTTAGAGAGCAGGAGCAGATGCCTTACCTGGCATGTGTGAGGCTCTGAGTTCAATCCCCAGTGCCGTAAAAGTCAAATAGGCAGGTCACTGGCAGACAGCCAGCAGGCCACTCCCTACCCAACTTGTTCCCCAGAAAGCTACAAATGTCACTTCTTTAAAGAGCTGTGTCCGCCATGTTTTCTTACGCCTGTCTGACCTCAGTTCATCTAATCTACTGGAGCTGTGAGGAACAGAATTTTCCCATCACTCCCTGCTTCACTGCACAGCTACATGGTGACCCCAGGTTGTGACCCCATGTGCTAGGGCCAGGTCGGCCTTTCACCAAAGAGAATCAGAAGGCCTGTGACAGAATGACAGACAGGAGGCTGGAGGAAGTTTTACATGGGGCCTTTCTGAGAGGGGAGGTATCACAGGAGATGTGAACCCCAGGTACAGCCTCCAGAGCATCTGAGCTAGGCTTGGGTATGGAGGGTGGAGGAAGAGCTGAAGGCCAGGGCCGGTGCCTGGTAGAAAGGCAAAGGGAGCTGGAGGAAGCCTGGCAGCACGCACAGGCCTGGCCAATGGAGAGCTGCTGTCAGAGCCCTGCTACTCATAGCACATTACTCTAGCTGCTGCATGTTTCCAGAGGTCACAGAACTAACCAAGTCACCAGGATGTGCAGAGTTAAGTGTGCAGACTAGGGGACACAGCCAATCCATCTGGGATAAAATCCAGCTCCCACTGCCAACCTGGGCAAGTCAAGAGACCCTCTCTGTGCCTTCGTTTGTTCATCTGTGGAATGGGAATAACAGTATGGCTGTTCTATGTGCTATATCAAGTTCAAAATAGCATCATTACCACTCACATCACCACCATGATCACCACCGACATCATCATTACAGCCACCATCACAACCATCATCATCATTGCCATCACAACCACCATCACCAGCACCACAGCAAGAGCAAGAGAACAGTCCATGCAGCCGCTTCACACTCCCAGCCGTTCCTTCGCCAGAGCACAGTTCTCTGGGGCTGAGAAGACCCAAAATCCCCAAAGCTCCTGAGCTCTGTAGGATATGACCTAGGCAGGGCACCACAGGACACTGCTCTGCAGCAGCTAAAGCGGACGTGGCAGAAACCAGCAGTGCAGGCCCAGGCTTCTCAGAGAATGAGGCTTTCGTCAGGCACCTCACATATTGAGCAAATTAGCAGCTCTTGAGGAGAACCATCTGCTCTGCCTGCCTGGAGCTCAAGGTCCCCAGGAGGAGGAGGAGGAGGAGGAGGAGGAGGAGGAGGAGGAGGAGGAGGAGGAGGAGGAGGAGAGGGAGGACAGCCTTTCATGGAGGGCCAGTTAAGCGGGGCAGTTCCCGGCATGGGGCCCGGGGCGTGTGGGCAGTCCTGCCAAGGCTGACCAGGCCTTGCTGTGTGTCAAAGCTCTGGGAGACGTGTCCCCCACCTCTAGATGGGCCTGTGGAGAAGCCTCTCCATCTAACTCAAATGCTGAGGCCCTTAGAGAGCTGGACCTGGGAAGCTCTCAGCATGGCCAAACACTGGACAAACACTCCATAGGCTGCCCAAGGCAGGCTGGTCCAGGCACTCATGACCCTACAGAAGGGCAGGCCAGAGATGGCCTCATTGTCCACCCCTCCAGAAAGAGAAATGGCTGCTCAGAGCCAGCTCTACTGAGGGCTCCAAGATGCCAGCATGGAGGAGGCAGCACATAGCTTGCCAACTGGCACCTCTCTTTGGCCAGGATCTCTGCTGCTACTGAAACAGATGCCCTTTCCAAATGAGCTTATTTTCTCTCTATGCCCCGAGAAACCAATGGGGGAGGGGTGCTTAACTATAAGCCCCCCTACACCCTTTCTCTTTCTGTCTGTCTTCCTTTCTCTTTTTAGCCTTTATTTGTACTGTATGTGTAGCGGTGTTTTGCCTGTGTGCATGCCTGTGTACCATGCACATCCAGTGACTGTGGAAGCCAGAAGAGGGCAATAGACCCTATGGAACTGGAGTTACAGACAGTTGTGAGCCCCCATGTGCGTGCCAGGGATTGAGCCTGGGTCCTCTGGACTAGCAGCCGGTGCTCTTAACCACTGAGCCATCTTTCCAGCCTTTCTTTGGCCTTTTTTTTCCTTTCCTTCACTCACTTCCCGGACTGGTCAACAGCACAGACTTCAGAGCTGAGTCACCGGAATGAGGGCACTAGCTGTCACTTGCAACTGTGTGAGCTTGTGCTGGAGGGGGCTCCGGTCTTGGCTATGGTCACACAGAGGGAGATGTCGCATGGCGGGAGGAGTCGGGAAGCCACCCCATGAATGGGTGGGTGTGACCTTTCCAGGGATACCTCTGGTATCCCAGCACGCTGCACCCCCCAGGGTCCCATTGCTTTCACAAGACCAAGACCAGAGCCCCAGGCCTTGCCCACCGTGATGGACTGAGACCCTCTGCAACTCTGGGGCAAAAGAAATCCTTCCCCTATGAAGCCTTTACCTGGCATATAAGAAGGGCGAGTGCTAGCCATGCTAACTGAGGAGCTGTGTTTAGGGGGCTCATGCTGTTTACAGGGTTCCTCTGAGAACAGACTCAGGATTGGCACAACAGCCAGTAAGGAAGCCATCGTCCGAATGAAGGACAATGTGTCTGACAGTAGCCGCAGGGAGGTGGTGCGTTCTGGGCCTGCTCTGAAGGCTGAGAGAATAGACCTCATGATGGGAGAGAGGTGGAGGATGAGAGAGGGTGCCAGGCTGCCAGGGAAGAGGTGGGCAGCCACTGCAGAGTATGCCTGAGGAGGAGTCTGAGGGCTTGGTGTGGCTGTGGCGAGACTGAAGTGGCTGGGTAGAAACGAGGGTATGGGGTCAGGGGTGGACTGAGCTGGAGGCACGAAGCCAGCCCCCTCTCCCCCCATTGGCTGGCCCTGGTCATCACAGCAAGTTAAGGGAATTACATGTTCATCAGCTGTGCGGGGGGGGGGGGGGGGTCAGAGAAGGAGACAGAAGGAGTGAGAGGTGGGAGAGGAGGGGCAGGAAAAGCAGATGCTGGCCAGGGTGGGATGACAGAGTGATAAGGCCTGAGCTCCCTGCTACCTCTAAGACCAGGAAGACTGCTGTTGGACCGTTTGGACAAAGCAAACAATGTCCTGCCGAGAATGGTTTTCACACAAAAAGCATTACCCGAAAGCCCTTATGGGTTACCCATCTGACCAAGAAAGAAACTGAGGCGCAGAGAGAACCCTCACACCCCTGGTTGAAGGTGCCTCACTTCAGCCCTGGGTTACCACTGGCTTCAGGACACTGGCCCAGAGACAGCGTGCGGATGAATGACTGAGCCATCGGTGACCAGGGCCAGGAGTGGCTTAGCCACATGAGATACAAAAAGACAGAAGCCCCCCAGAAGCAATAGACACGGGGCCTAGTTGCTCAGTCAAGACCTGGGTCGGCGCGAGCATTTCAAACAGTGTCCTCGGGTCCGGAAGAGCGGTGTGCTCCTTCCACCCTAAACTGAAACAGGTGCTGGACAAGCCCCAGCAGGTCTGAGGGTGCCTGGGTAAACTGAGGCGGAGCCTCTCCCACTCTGCCTTGTGCTCTGTTCCACTGCACACGGAGACTATCCTGGCAGACACTGCTTCAGCTAGGAAATGGAAATTCCTGGCTCCGGCCAAGGCTCCCGGCTGCCGTGTGGGATGGGACAGCTGGTCTCTGCCCCTACAATGTCAGGCGGGCCGGATGCCCCAGCGCAGGAGGTGCCGTTTGCAGGAAGCAACTGGCCCTGAGTGGCTTGGAGCCTTTGCATCTGACGAGGACAGCGGGCCCATACCCCAAACAAACAGGACTCACTGAAAACGGGCCTTGAGGAAGGCCACACATTCGATTTTGAAGCAGAAGTGTGAAAGGGAAGTCAGAGTCCCCCCACACATAGGCACACTTCTGATTTGCTTCGTTTCGCTTTCTTGTCTTTGAGTCAGGGTCTCTCTATGTAGCTCTGGTTGGCCTGGAACTTGCTATGCAGACCAGGCCTTGAACTCCTCCTGCCTCTGCCTCCCAGGCGCCAGACTTACGGGTGTGGCCAACCACCCGAATCTAGTCTCCTTCACGTTTTAATAACGCATTGACACATCAAGCATTCCCTGAGCATAGTGCTGAAGAGCCAGGCTAAGCACCTGATGGCCTGTCACTTTACCCCCACGACCACCCATCAAGGGCCGGTGTGATTAATCCCCACTCACCTCCAGCAGCTGCAGAGCACTGGGCCGGGTGTCCGGGTTCTTATCCAGCGCTTTCTTCAGAAAGTCTCGGAACTCCACAGACCTGGGAGGAGAGGTGGAAGGAGTGGGCCACAGTGTGGGCACCATGTGCCCAGCATCGGGCGTCTGGAGACAGGGTACACGTGATACCCTTGGTCCACATCAGGACACAGAAGTCTAAGAGGGACATAGACTGGCTAGGGACTGAGCATGGCAATGTCAGAATCTGAACCCAAGTCCCCGTTCCTGACCTGGAGCCACATGGCTTTTGGGGTTCTGTTTAGGTTCCCAGGGGACATAATGAAATCTCATCCCGGATCACTGGCTTTGCTCTCACATCGAGTGGGCAAAGTTCAGAAACACTGGGACCCCCACCCCACCTCCGACATCCCTGACTTTAGAGGCTGCCATGCCGAGAGTCAAAAGCTGCACACACACATGCCCCACGTCCTCACTCGCCCTTGCAGGGGCCTCAGAACCCTCTACAACTACCCAGCTCTCTTCTCTCCTCACCACTTGGAGGGTGCGAGCAGCGTGGGAGGGTCCGACTTGGCGATCTTTAGCAGGACCCGCATGGGGTTGAGCTCATGGTGCGGAGGCTCGATCTGCGCCATCTCGATCAGCGTGATGCCCAAGGACCAGATGTCAGCCTTGTAGTCATAGGGGGCGTCCTTCATGGTCTCACAGAGCACCACCTCAGGGGCCATCCTGAGCCAACCAAGGAACAATAAGGGCTAAGAACTGGGGCCCCTGCGAGTGCCGCTTGTAGCCTCAGGGTCTGGAACACCACCAGCACCACACTGGAGGTTGGCAGCATTTGAAGCCATGATTTGAGTAACTGGCATCCCACTTGTCTTCCTCAAGGGTCTTCACGAGCCCCCGCCACAGCCCGCTGCAGTTCCGGGAGCCTACCACAAGGTGGCAGCAGCAATCCAGAACAGAGTCCTGGGGAGGAGGCAGGTGGGTGAGGGCAGAGGGGGAAGGTTCCAGCAGAAACAAACAGGGTGGGACAGTGGGCTACACAGAATAGGACAGCACAGAGAGAAGGGGGCATGGGAGCGAGGAGAAAGGAAGAACGGGTGGGATGGGAGAGAGAGAGTTAAGAGTAATAAGCAAGCAAGACGGGGGCTGAACACCACGGCGAGTTGTAAAACAGAACACAGAGTGATCAGGTGGGAAACTGAGTAAGAGAGCTACGGGCTTGGGGTGATGCCTGCACTTGTGGGAGAGGGAGTCCTCAGCTCGACTGTCTGTAGACTGAGATCAGCTGAGGTCTGATCTCAGACTGAGGTCACCTCTACCAGAGAGCTTCCTCCCCTCCTCCCCCTTCAAGACAGGGTTTCCCTATGTAGCCTTGGCTGTCCTAGACTTACTTTGTAGACCAGGCTGGCCTTGAACTCACAGAGATCTGCCTGCCCCTGCCTCCCGAGTGCTGGGATTACAGGCAGCGCCATGGCACCTGGCTGAGAGCTTTCTTTTTACAGGTGTTTTTATGTTAAGTTATGGTTTTGAAAAGGGATGAGATACAACAGGCGCAGGGAGATTTCTCATGAGGTCAGGGAGTGAATGTACATTGCTCTCCTGCCCCCGCCTATGCCCAGCACCCAGAACTCAGCACCTTTTTAGCGACTCCATTTAGTTTATTAATGGGGTGCTTTCCACTGTAGCCCCGATTTATGGATGAGGCGTGAGGAAGCTAAGGCACTTGTCCTAGGCACAGGAGTACCCAGAATTAGACCTGGACCCACACTGGGAGGGCTGACTCAGAGGCCCTGAACTGGCACCCGCCTCCCCACACACAATCCACCCAGAAGCGCCCCTGGGGTGCCAGGCTGGACATTTAGCCGGACGATCAACTCCAACTCACCAGTAAGGCGTTCCTATGAAGGAATCTCGCTTTTGCAGAGTTTTCAGATTCTTGGCAGACACTCCAAAGTCAGCTGCAAGACAAGAACCTCAGATAAAATCGCTGAAGGAGTCTTCTCCGCCCACACCCCTAGGTGTGGGCTCGGGGACGCAGCGCTCTTGCCCTTTACCCAGCCAACTGGAGTTTTAAAGTTAAAGTGAGTGTGTTGCCGAGACGGGCCCCTTGCCACCAGATGGGAGCATGAACCGGCCAGACCCTTCCAGGAGAACAATTTGACAATAAATCACCGGAAGAGCCTTTTAAAAAGGCCAGACCCAGGCAGGGATGGTGGCATACGCCTTTAATCCCAGCACTGGCAAAGATCTCTGAGTTCAGTGCTAGCCTGGTCTACATAGAGAAACCCCACACACATACACACGCACTCTGGTTTTCAAGACGGAGTTTCTCTGAGTATCCCTGGCTGTCCTGGAACTCACTGTGCAGACCAGGCTGGCCTTAAACTCACAGAATCTCTGCCTCCTGAGTGCTGGGATTAAAGACATGTACTACCACTATATATAGTGAGACCCTGTCTCAAGGGGGGTGGGAGGCAGACTCATTTCATCTAGTAATCTATGCATTCACTGAAACAATACAAAGTGCAAACAATTATGATATTCATCAATAGGTTATTCAAATACACATTAGCAACCCATATTACATAGCTATCATTTAAGAAAATAACGTTTTTAAAGGTATTATCTGTTGTCTTAATCTTTTTCTTTTTTCATTTTGGTGGCCTCCTAGTTTTACCTTATCAGGCTCTAGTTCCATCCAAGGCATGTAAACTTGACACAAGCTAGAATCATCTTGGAAAAGGGACCTCAATTGAAAAAAAAGAATGCCTCCACCCATCCAGATTGCCTGGGGTGGGGGGAGAATATTTTTAAATTATTCACATACACCATATGTAGAGGTCAGAGGGCAACTTCTGGGTGTAATGGAAGTTTTGGTGTCTTTGTAAACCCTGTTATGTTATGTTATGTTATGTTATGTTATGTTATGTTATGTTATGTTATGTTATGTTATGTTATGTTATGTTATGTAAGTATGTTTTTGTTTTAATAACAAGTGTGGGAGTTTAGCTGGGCCCTAGTTTGTCCACACCTGAGAATTGTCTCATATGGAATGTGGCTTTTGCCAGCTGGTAATGGCCTTCCACATGTGGCACGGTGGGGGTCATGGTCTCGAAGTAAAAATATGAGAGCCGAGAAGGAGAAGGTGAAGGTGTGGCATGGCATTTGATGTGGCGTTCTGCGTTGGTGTGTGTCATGTAGCAGTTCGGGGAGACCAGATACGGTGTAGCACTTTGGAGCAGACAGACAGAGAGAAACGCTTCAGGGCGCAGCAGCATGGAGGAGGCTGCTGGCTGCGTCTGCGGTTGGTGGAGATTGGTACAGAGCCCTAAAAGAACCCCTTGACCCTTAATAGCAGGAGGAAGTAAAGGGGTCTGGGCCCGATCTACCCCTTTCTCCTACTTAAGGCTGGGGGTTGGTGGAAGGGAGGTAGAGGCCTAAAGACTCCAAATAAAGTAGAATTTTAAAAAAGACCCCTACAGGTGGCTTTCTGCTACACACAGGAGTCAGTTCTCTTCAATTCCAGGAGTGGAACTCCGGGCTCCAGGCTTGGTGGCAAGTGCCTTTACCCACCAAGCCATCCCCTAGACTCCGCTTCTGCGTCTCCTTTCTCTCACCTCTCCTACTGACGCCACTCTGAACCAGCCCTATAGAATCACAAACTCTACTGCACAGTCCTGAAGTTCTTTTCATCACAGAAGCCAGAAACCCCAGTTTGTCCTGCAGAGGCTGGTTGTTGGGGGTGGGGTGGGGGGGTGGCATAAGCTAGGTGGAGGGCCACGAGGGCCTGTGATAGCTTTCACTCTGTGACACAGGGGTGCTTCCTCGACCCTTTACGGTTCATCTAGGGACTGTCCTCAGGATTAAACTGACACATTTACAAAATGACTCTACTCCCAGCCCAGGTCACCCTGAGTTCTCCATTCAGGAAGCCCTGGTAATTCCCAAGGACAGGCCCACCCTGAGAATCAGAGGCCTCGAGAGGCCAAAGTAACAAGCCTCTCCTGGGCGTGGCCATGTCCTAGGCAGTGTAGATTGGACAGCAGGTGTGCGTTTGTGTACCTGAGAGAGGGGCTATGGGTTGTGACCTCCCAGGGCAGGACCAGGGCTGCTAAGGGTAAGGTTCAGGCATGGGGAACCCCCAGCCTGCCTGGAGAGTGGTCCCTCAAGGGTTCCTGTGGGGACTGGGCTTTCCTTCCTGCTGGGTCAGCCTGGGTACCTGTGAGCCTGTTTCCCCACAAACAGTCACTATGGGCAGGACACTATTCCTGTCTCCTGGGAAAACACTGGTTGAGACCTTGGGGTGAAGCTGCCAGAAGTCCATCACCCCGCTCCCACCCCATCTCTCTTGGCTGGCCCTGCCACACCTTCAAGAGGCAAGGGTAAATGGGACACCACCAGCTTCCACAATGCCCAGCTGGCACCAGGCCGTCCCAGAAGCAGGCACCAAGACAACTTTCAGGGTGGCTGTTATTCCTTCCTCTTCACATAAAGGGGCCCAGTGTGGAGGTGGGGTGTCCCCTCCCAGCAGCCCAAGGCCTCAGGCTCTCCATGGACACACATGGGGAGTGACCATGCTGGAGTACATGAGAGAGTCCCCTGAGGGGGTGGACAGCCATCTTGAGTGAAGCATTTTGACCAGCCTCTTCTCATAAAAGCATGATTCTCTTCCTCCCTTTTAGAATAAGTTAGAAATGGGACAGCAGAGTCAAGGGACTCTCCCTGATAGGCTGGAATGTCTGTACAGATACCTTTGCTCGGCCCACAGCTCTAGCCCTGACAGCAGCCCAGCAGCACGAAACGGACAAGTCTGCTGGGGGAACGTTCTCATACTCACAGCCACGGGAGCACACTCACAGCCAAAGGAGCACACTCACAGCCAAGAGGGCACACTCACAGCCAAAGGAGCACACAGCGAAAGAGCACACTCACAGCTAAGGGAGCTCACTCACAGCCAAGGGAGCACATTCACAGCTAAGGGAGTAAGCACACTCACAGCTAAGGGAGCACACAGGCTTAGCAGAAAAGTCTTTGCTCCCAGTCTTGTCCCCCCACCCCACGGCTTGGCTTTCCCTGGTTTTGGTTACCAATCTGGAACTATGACATGGGACGTTCTAGAAGTCAAGTCCTAAGTCTTAAATAACATCCATTATAGCACACTGTTATCCTTCTAGACGTTGTTATTAATCTCTTAGATGCCGAACTTACAAACTTAACTTTGCCATCAGGATGTATGGATAGGAAAAACGGGTACCCCCTGTGGGTCTTGGACTATGTCCCCTATGGATAAGCAGGGACTACTGGATGTATGGCCTTTTAACTTTATTTTATGTGTACGAGTGTTGGCCTGCATGTATGTGTGTGCATGCCTGGTGCTTGTGGAGTGAGAAGAGGACCCCCTGGAACTGGAGTTACAGGTGTGTGGGAACTGCCGTGCGGGCGCTGGGAACTGAACCAGGTCCTCTTGCAAGAGTAGTGTGTTTGCTCTTAACCACTGAGCCATCTCTCCTGCCCCAATTCTTTATTACATTTTCTTATTTTTATCTTTATGTGGGGAGAGGGTTAAGTGTCATCGCGTGCATGTGGAGGTCAGAGGACAAACTGGCAGGAGTCAGTTCTACCGTGTAGGTCACCAGGCTGGGCAGCAGGTGCCTGCAGCAGCAAGCCGTCTCAGAGGCCCCACTGCATGCTGCGGCGGTGACAGTTCAGGCTGTAGATGTCCTCACATGGGCTTAGTATACGGACAGACGCTTCCAGAAGCACACCGTTCAGAAGAATGACAAACTGGAGGCGACTGAGCTCACTGCTGGAGCTTGAGGGCAGGTGGTTAAGTTATGCTATGAGACAGAACGCAGCCCTAAAAAAAGAACGCTTCTGTGTCTGGATGCAGCCGGCCAGAAGTTTCCCTGTAACACACTGAGACAGAGAGCACGCACAGCATGATTCCAGCCTCCCCAAACTCAGCTGTACCCAAGCGGTCACCTCCCAGATGTGGGGTCTTGGTGGGGGCAGAGCACAGAGGTCCTTGACCTGTTTGTTCCTTTTCTATGCACAGTTTTATTCTTTAAAACATTTCTGACGGACTGTACTGTTTTTGCGGTTTAGAAAACAGAAACACTTCTAGCCATGCTGCCGGTTTGGGTTCTGCCCCGCTTATGTAAAACACAGGATGTGGCGAGGGAAGACTTCACAATCCGCTGGGGGGGGGGGGTGCGCACGGTGGGAGCAGGAGGACAAGGGGCCCCCACGGCCCAGGAACTCTCCACAGGAGGCTCCGGGAGCCAGGCGCTGGCACGCTCCTCCTGGAATGACTGGCTGGCTACATGGCATGATACTATCCAGCTCAGGGCTATCACAGGTTACCCATTTTGCATGTGTGTGAAATGATGATGCCCGGGAGCAACACTTGAGGATACGGGGAAATGGGCGGATACAGTGTGATTTTAAATGGCAGAGGAGAGCATTCTGTCAAGCACAGAAACACAAAATCTGCGTGGTCCCACTTATCCGAGGATCTCCCGGAAGCAGCGTGGGTGGTGGGGGGAACTGGGAAGGAGGATGGTGAGTAGAGGGAACCAGGGTGGGGTAGGGAGAGCCACGAGGGAGGAGGGGTGAAGGTGGGTATACAGTGAAGCGGCTAGTGTTCTAATGCAGGGACTACGGTTGACGATAACTGACTTCTTCAAAAACGGATCAGTTTTAAATATGCTTCTAAGCAGCTGAGGGGATGGCCATGACGGTCGCTGTCTGGTCACTGTCACCCTATGCTCCATAAGTATGCGTACATCTTGTGTTTCAGTTAAAAAGATTTTAAAAAGGCAGCCTTGGGGCAAGGGATGTGAGTGAAAGCGCTTCCCTCTACCCAGCATGCTAAGCTTAGCTGCCCTCGGCTTGAGCCCCAGCACCACACAAATATAAAACTGAACAAAAACACACAGGTATTCATTTCCCCTGGATT